TTTTTTTTTATAAAACAAAAAATATTTTAAACAAAAAAAAAATACTAACCGATTTTTAAAAATTGGTATCGTTAGAAAGATGATTAAGTCCTCTTTCTTGTGATGTGCATATTTGTATACTTCGTGTATAAAAATTTGAGTAAAAACTCATTAAATGGAAAAAATACGAAGGCGTCGGTAAATTTATATTTTTACTAATGCTGTTATTTTTGCTTAAATGGTTTTAAACCATCATATAATATTAGTTTCCCACACCCCAAATCAATTTTATTATTTAATTATTTTTGTCCAGCTAAATCGTCGTTGTGTGCGAAGAAGGCAAACTGCTATTGAAAATCGAGTCGGTGCTTAATAGGGTGTTCGGTTATTCGCTTTTTTCCAAAACCGGCCCTCGAGTTGTTCGAATATTACAATTTGAAAAAAAAAAAACGGTTCCCTATTTTGAAATTAAGAAAAAACAGGTTAAACTGCTTATGTTGGTGTGAAGTGATGACAAAAAATTACAATTAAGCTATTTAAAGTAAAGATGGCTTTTTTTTAGAAAAGAGCAACGCAAAATAAAGTCAACGTTTTTTTTTAGATCAAAAGTAAAACAAATAAAAAGCAGTGAAAAATTAACGCTTGCTTTTAGTTTATATTTTTTAATACTTTATTGCGTTTTGTTCTGACTTTTTTTCGAACTGGAGCAGTGCTCTTGCCGCCGTAGCCGAGCGTTTAAATATGCCTACTGCTATTCGGGTGGTCCATGGTCCAATTTATAGTCCCAGCAACATCAAAATAAAAAAAGCTTCTTCGGAGGTGGAGTAAAAGTTTAGTTTTCTCCATTTGTGTCAAAACATCGAAAAGCAGAACAAAAATTGGAGGAGAAGCTCGGCCATACACGTAGAAAATCTTTAAGCGCTAAACATTCATTTATTTAAATCAAATATGATATGTCGTTAATCACCAAATAACCTAGAATATAATTTTAAAACTATTTAGGGGTTTCCGTTAAATTGGAACTTGAAAACTTCGAAAAACTTAAAACTTTTGTTGAGAGGTCAAAATTTTTATTAAATGAAAGAAAACCGGTTTGTTCGATAAAAAAAACGCCTTTTTTCGATATTCGATAATTCAAGACTTCAAAACAACTGCGTGCAGATATCCAAACGACCGGTGGAAACCGGTTGGGAAAAACCGAGTCAATCACCCTAGTGCTTAAACTTACTCATCATACATGAGGACCATTGTATCCTCCTCTCTTACAGCCAACATTTGTTCTATTTATTAACAAGATTATCTTTGCAAACGACTTTCAGCCGCTTAAATATTCGAGCAGCGAATTCACGCATCGATATTCACATAGTGTTTTGTATGCATGTATATATGTATGTATGTATATTTGTATGTTGCGCATATAATACCACAATTTTGTTATACAAAATTTGAGTGTAATAATATTTACTAGTAAATAATCATTCAAATCAATAAAGTTCAACTTTGGTGGAGTTTGTATGCATACATGGCTATACATACATACATATGTATGTTTGCATGTGAACTGTTATGCGTACATATACATATGCATGTACATACGTACAATCTTATGTATATAGGTCGAGAAAGTGCAAAAACAAGTATAAATGCTTCGGCGCGCACACTGCCCGCTAACAGTAATTTGTTGCTATTCAAAGCGTTTGGTTGGCGTTTTATTTAAAGTTTAATTTTTATTTCTTAGTGTTT